GGGATAATAAGGCCAATCTTGTGTGCAAAATTTAGTGAGGAGTTTGGGTTTGATGTGAGGCTTGAGGGATAGGGTGGTAAGGTTGTTTAAGAGACATTGTAAAGGTGAATCACCCCGGAGGGAGGAGGCGGAAGCTCCCATTCTGAAGAGGATTAGAGAGAGAGAGATTTTAAAAGGAGGAGGATTAGAACGAGCCTTCCAGCCAGATGAGAAAGACGAAACTCAGATGGGCGTCCCCAATGAGTCGTGCCGTTCCCAGGAGATGGGTTCCTGGAACCCAGGAAGGAAGGGGGTGTAGGTCATCACCTAGACCCTCGCTTCCCAGAGGCAAAATGCCGGAGGAGCTGGAAGGACCTAGCGCACTAGGGTTTACTGGACGGCGGGGGTCCTGGACCCGGTAGGAGGAAGGTTAGATGGGTTCAAGGATGAACCCAGGAAGGAGGAAGGTTAAAAGGAGTGCGAGAGAGAGAGAGGGAGGAATGGGAGGTTCAGCCTCCGGGGCCGGGAACGTGTCAATGCCAGGGCTGGGAGAATGTGATTAGGGTGACGGTTTAAATAATCTACAAGCCTGACAAAAGGAAAAGGGGGCTTACCTAACGGATGAGCCGGTGGTGGGTGAAGGAAGTCAGAGCCAGAGAAAGATAGACGAGGGCGGACCGTCAATCCCGGGGGGTCGCGGAGGAGTCCGAGGAGGTCCGAGGAAGGAGTCCCCTGTCGCAGGGTGAACTCCTTCCTGGGTTTCGGCACAAAATGAAGGGGCTCACGGACGAAGGAATCACGCGAGACCCGAGCTAACAGTTCGCCAGAGAAGTTCCGCTTTATTCAAGGACTGCGCGTACATTTATAGGGTGCAGTGCTCTGGGGCAGGAGAGAGAGTGGACAGGGCAGTAACTGATTGGACGGGGCTGGGCAGGAGGTGAGCCTTGACCTGTGACTGGCTGAGGTTTGGCGCAGGTGGGCTTGGGTGTTGGCGCCCGCGGGCTTGTTTACTGTGGGGAAGAACCAGGAAGGGCGCCATATTGCCAGGGTGTGTCCCTGTTCAGGCGCCCATGGGGTCCCTACACACTTCTCTTTGAATGCATAGGTGTACGGGTACATATTTATCATTGGACATAATTAGGACCTCATTCTAGATGCATTTCTATGACCAGGTGAGCAGTATAGTTTCTATCGGCATTGGACAAATGAGGAAGCTACAACTCAGGACAGGGTAGTGATTTGTCCCATACAGAGCCAGCGAGTGCCAGGATTGGGACATCAATCCTGTGTGGGGTTTGTGGTCTTTCAGTAAGCCTCAAAGCGAAGTCCACATTTATCTTTTGACACTGTTGCTTCTGTTCAGACACCTTCCTCCCAGCACCCAGTCTTGGCTCTGAGGTGAGGGGGCTGCCATGTCTTGAGGCCCCATGGTCTTTCTTGGGCGTTTTGCCTACTAAAGAAGAGATTCTGGGTACTTGGCAAGTAGGAATATTTATGCAGCTGTCAGTAAAGTGCAATAAAAATGGCAGTCAAGCTTTCTCACAGATGAAATGATGGTGGTGATTTCCTGCCCTGTTAAATCTCAGTCGAGGCAGCGTCCTTTGAGGTCGCCCAGAGGTTGCAAATGTGACTATTCCAGTGCCACCTTATCAGTTCCCCACTGAGCAGCATTTAGTTATTTTGAAGGAGCTTGGGGAAATGGAATCTGATAGTTGGGGAGGGAGAGATGCTCATTACCTTGTCATGACCACCTTCCCTTCTAGTGATACTTTGGTCCTAGGACTGTATTCTGTTGAAGATGAAATCATAGATTCAACTCTCAGGTCGTATTAGTGAAAATGAACTCTAATGTGATTAGACATTAATGCAATGTAATGGAGGACTGGTATCACATTGAGACCTGGTCTTGCTGCTCCACAAACACTCTCCTGCTTGGGCTACTGCTCTACCAGCCTTGTCCCCCCAAGCAGGAGCGAGGGGCTGTGGTGCTAGAACCCTGAGCCCAGTGGCAGCCTGGTGTTGAGAAGCGTAGGGGGGAGAGAGGGGAGACTGGGGGCAGCAAGGCCTCACTCACTGCCTGTGCTGCCTTGAGCCCCGTCCACGCTGTGGAGGGAGGAGTGGCTGGGACCACAGGGCTGTAATTCTGGGCCTGCCTACACTCTCAGGACCACGTGTTGTTGAGGACCGAGAGCTTCCAAGTGTACAGTTTTACTTTTACATCCAGTGTTTGACAGGCATAGGTCTAGAATGCTAAGAACAAAATCCTCACTCTATGTCTTCCACCTCCACCTCCCCCCCACCCCCAGTCCTTTTTGTGAAATTGAGACTTAAACCTAATAGTTGGTACCGGCTGTTGTCACTTGTCCTCCTTCTGTTTCCCTTTCCTGGTGGGGTAAGCTAAGAAGCAGACAGTGCACCAGCTTTAGTGTGTGCTGCAGCTTCCTTTAGGGACAGGATGGGACTGTGACAGCCCACACAGTGTGAACCTTGGCTGGGGCAGCTCCCCTTGCCTCCCAGACCTGTGAGTCTGCAATCAGTTACATGCTCAGCTCGGAGACCCGCAGGCCCATGGGCTGCTTCTCATCCAGTGGGCTCTCCAAGAGAGTGAGGATCTGGGAGGAAAGCAATCCCCTGCTGAGAAAATGGGCCCAGGGTGCAAGCCCTGGCGATAGTCAGATGGCAGGACCTTCACGTTTGAATAATAGCGTTTTTACAAAGAGAGTGATTTTTCTTATTCTTTTTCCAGAAAACTGCTTTCAGAGGCACAGACTTTGCACACAGGATGGTAACGACTTTTTAATGACCTTAAGGGGACTGGTGTCCAGGCAGCAGTGAATCAGTCTCAGTGGGAGGTTCATAGTGAGAGAGAAGATGGAACACCTGAAACCAAAGGGGGAAAAACAAACTGCAAATACATATATTTTCTTTGCTAGCATTACTTGGTAATTAGACAATTACAGGAAACAGCTTCCCAGCAGCTGTTTTCCACTGTGTGAGCAGAGGAGGGATGGCAACAACTGTGAACTTCTCATATTTATTACAGAAAATATTATTGGAGTCTACGTGGTGGGTGCCATGCACTCCCTGGTGCATCCTGATGAGTGGCTGAGCATTAAACCAGGAGCAGAACTCCTTTTCTCAGGGTTTATTCAGGGCCTGCTTGGCTGGGTTTTAAATGAGCTGGCCTGGCCCATGCTGATCAATGAGGAATTGCCTTCAGAATATTGGGGCTGATTTTGAGACCACCCAGAGACAGGCCAGTTCTGAGTGTAGACCGTCTGGGGGATGGTGTTGGGAAGCAGGAAAGGGAAGGGTGGAGGCCTATGGAGAACTTGTGCTCTCCCCAGGTGCCATCACTTGCACAGGGGAGGGGAGGCAGGCTGTCATGAGTGACCCCTGCTGCTCCAGCCCCAAGTGCTGGGACTCCACAGCCCTCCTCTTGCCCTGGCCCACCCAGCCCGCATCTCTGCCCTGCTTCACAACTCTCCTCCTCCCAGAAGGCCCCTGTGATGTGCATCTAATGAACTACCACAGTCATTCTGCCAGCAGCCCTCTGAGGTAGGCCCATTGCGGCCCCATTTTATGGAGGAGGAAATGTGCTTTATGGACACCCACCAACCTTGATTATGTTTATATTTCACACACTCGTCATGATGTAAATTTGGTCTGTACTCCGAGCTTGTTTGTGGAGGATATTATAAGAATCTTAAGTCACACTCATAGATGGGTAGGAGTGCCTTCTTTGACAAGATTGTAGGCTCCTGAATGGGGACACTATATATTTCCTACCTCCCTCAGCCACATGTGAGGAGAAGCCTTGCTCCCATCTCTGCACAGAGCTCCCGAGGATGGGGTCTCTCCCTTCTCAGTGGACACAATTCTGTGGGCCCACACCACCAGCAGGGTTAACTGCACTGTCTAACCAGGCAAATGGTTGTGTTTCCTCTCGCAGGTCCTGGCAATCAGTAACTTTTGAAAGACAGCCTGCCTCCTTCATCCGAATCGTAGGAACACACAACACAGCAAATGAGGTAAGGGTCTCTTTTCATGAGAGGTGCTGTGATATTTCATGATGTACAGGTAAATGCTACATCCTGAGTTAAGTGGAACTGTTTGTTCTGCCTGCTCATGGCCTGTTGTTCAGACAGCTTGGGACCGAAGAAAGTCCTGCTCTTGCACAGTGGGGATATCGTTATCATTTCTGGATGTCTCTTCACTAGCAAATGCAAGACAGCTCCTATTGCCTTGCTTATTCCTCCCACCCTCTCTGCAGAACCAGCCGCCACAGAGACCTTGAGAAGTCAAACCCTCCCACTACCCCATTCCCTCATCTCCAAGTCCTGAGTCCTCAGCCCTCCCAGATGACAGCAGTTTTATAGACTCCTTGGCCCTGGAAGCGTGGTGTTCTGCAGATGGCCATGCTGTTAACTTAGTTTGCTTATCACTCTCTTGCTTTTCTCCAGTCACACTGTGTTTAGTGTATACCTCTGAAGGACCTCTGGTTAAAGACAGGAGCCACAAGGAATGATACGGTTGAAATTCAAGAGGTAAAGGAGAAGCATAAAAATAGTAACAGTTCTGCAATTTCACCTTTCCGTGATCTTCCCGAGGAGATCTGTATAGGACTGGTTTCATGGGTGTACCACCAGGGCAGTTGCATGGGCCCCCATGCTTGGGGTTGCATGCTCTGTGGCACTGTCTTGAAATTCTTAGTATTTTTCCCTCTGAATCATGTTTTACGAGGGAAGCCCCACGGGACAGTGGAGCACGCACTAGGGCCTGGAGCCTCGGCTCACACATGGTCCCACTCCTGCCCCTTCTCACCTTCCCAGGATGGGTTCTCAGCCACCCACCCTGTGTACCCTGGTGCCCAGGCCCTGCTTGGCCTCCCCCTCTCAGCCCACTCCATGACCATTGCCACTGTCCACCCCCCAGTGGGGCCCTGGCATGGGTGCGGAGAGGGCCTGGGTCTGCTGTGAGTGCTGAGTTCGAGTCACAAGATACGGTCCTGTGCCTGTGAGCTACGTGAGCCTGAGAATATTCCAATGCCTGAGGGAAGAACATTAAGTAGCTGCTAAAAAACTTAATGACAGGTCGAGAGAGAGACTTTGGAGGAGAAAGCTTTCTTCTGAGCTACGTGAGCCTGAGAATATTCCAATGCCTGAGGGAAGAACATTAACTAGCTGCTAAAAAACTTAATGACAGGTCGAGAGAGAGACTTTGGAGGAGAAAGCTTTCTTCTTGCTTTTGGAACACAGGGTTCTACATTTTCATTCTGCACCAGGGCCCCGTATCTTACAGAGCTGACCCTGGATTCATGCACTGTCTTCGTGCAATTATCCCAGAGCGCATCAAGGTGCTTCTGGTACTTCAAAAAGCATTTTAAAAAGTGAAAATATTATAACTTATATTCATTTTGCCTTTTTATTTATTTAAAATAAAAATGATCCACACCCACAATGTGTTTCTTGCAGAGAGGAGCTTGTAAACAGAAGCCTGGAACTTTTCTTACTTCTTCATTTCAAAACAAATCTGAAAACTATAAAAGTAAATCAATTGATATTTTTTAAAGCAAAATTCAAGAATTCTAAACACCAGCACTTTTTTCTTTTTTTCATGATGTAATAAAAGTAAATTTGAATCTGTATTTTAATATATATTTGATCCCCAAACCAACATCATACTTTTTAAAAATTGCTAGTTGCAATTTTTCTTACCACTTACTGCATTAATTATGTGTGTATTGCTTACTAAATTTGAAAACAATTGAAATTTATCTTTAGTAATATGTCAAACCAAAATTAAATATTTTTCATTTGCAGTCCTTGTTTTTTATACTAAAAAAAGACCCCCCCAAAACCACCAATTTTTGTCTTTAATTCCTAAGTAAACTCTGAAATTACGTATTACAACAGAAGGAATTTTCAGGTCAGAAAAGGCTGAGAAGCACCAAAGTGAGTCTGATTAGGGTCTACTTCCAGGCCTTCTCTCAGCCCCAACATTATCACCTCAGTGACCAAAGGAAGAAAAAGAAGAATCTTGGACATTTTATTTCAAAGCTATTCTAGATGAAGAATAATTTCCCATTATAGAGCTCTAAAGCTTGAGTGCAAGAACACACTTTTGTGATGAGTTTCCCAAAAAGTATCTGTGTAAGGGGCCCCAGCCCTTTGGTAGAGACTGGACCAGCCAGTTTGAACAGGTTGGCTAGTAGGTCATTAGTTGATTGGTGATCTGTCACCTTTGGTTGATGAGTAACTTACTCAGCTGCCTTATTGAATGAGCTATTGATCAGGAAAAGAGCCTCAAGTAGTGTTGCCAGCTGGAAAGCATCTTAAATCATAAAATAAATGATGAACAAGATCTATAAACTATATCATTCTCAGAGCTCCCAGGAAGGCACAATAAAGTTGAATTTCACTGGGCGTCAAGAATATAGCAAACCCTCAAAAAGAATGTTCTCCACTGCAGCATACCGGGTTCAGGGACATCGTTTGGAGGAAGTTGTATCACCTGTCTTAGAGAACAGCAGAAATGTGTGTAAGCTGGTATGGCAGAGTTCAGAGGTGTGAGGGACAGGGGAGGAGGGTGGCTCGGGTTGGTTGGGCACAACTCCTCAGGGAGACTGCTCTAGAGGAGAACTGTGATGGTGCAGACAGGGGGACAGCAGCTGGGGAAAGGAGGCTGGGGATGAAGAGTCTAGGACAGCCCTGTTCCATAGTCCCATGGGAACCAGACTGTACCATCAGACATAGAGGTCAGGGCACCTCCTTCTCACTGTGGAGGGTGGGCTAGAAGACAGGAGATGCAAGGTTTCCCCGGTCTGTGCCCGCTTACTTGCCTGGCGGCATTGGTGGCTGTCTTAGCCTGGGCTGCTGTAACAAAATAGACTGGTACTAAAACAACAAACGTTTATTCCCCACAGTTCTGGAGTCTGGAAGTCCAAGACCAGGGTGCCAGCAGGGTTTGGTTCTTGGCGAGAGCCCTCTTCCTGGTTGTGTCCTCACATGGCCTTCCTTGATACATGCATGTGGGAGGACTCTAGTCCCTTTCTCTTATAATGGTACTAACCCCATCAAGACCTCATCTAAACCTAATCACCTACCAAAGGCCCCACCTCCTAATACCATTCCATTGGGAATTAGGGTTTCAACATGTGAATTTTTTTTTTTTTAAAGATGACCGGTAAGGGGATCTCAACCCTTGGCTTGGTGTTGTCAGCACCACGCTCAGCCAGTGAGCAAACCGGTCATCCCTATATAGGATCCGAACCCGTGGCCTTGGGGTTATCAGCCCCGCACTCTACCGAGTGAGCCACGGGCCGGCCCCTTCAACATGTGAATTTTTTTTTTTTTAAAGATGACCGGTAAGGGGATCTCAACCCTTGGCTTGGTGTTGTCAGCACCACGCTCAGCCAGTGAGCAAACCGGTCATCCCTATATAGGATCCGAACCCGTGGCCTTGGTGTTATCAGCACCGCACTCTACCGAGTGAGCCACGGGCCGGCCCCTTCAACATGTGAATTTTGAGGGGACACAAAGATGTGGTTCATAACTTCATTTCAGTCAGAGGCAGGATTTGTTTCCCTTTAGCTTCTGATTGTTTGTGAACCCAAAGACTTTGTGCTGATCGAGAAGTGTAGGTGGAATTGGTTTTTAGCACAGAAAGAGAAGACTGTCTGTGTTCATAAAAGGCAAGTCACAGTCATACAGCCATCAACACACTGGGCTCCTGGCCCTGTGAAACTACTTAAGGTCTCTCAACACAGCCAGCAGCTCTGGCCACTTCCCACCTTTTGCCCACACAGCCCAACCACCATCCCCTCTGACTCATCTTCCACTCTCAGGAGCCCTTCACTACCCCCTGCTCCACCTGCCACTCTCTTGATGGGGCAGCAGCTGCAGAGAGCAGGCTTATGTGGGCCATGTGGCAAAGGGTTTGTTCACCCACATTTCTATTTCTTTTATGTACACAGACAATCTTACTTTTCCATGCTAAAAACCAATTCCACCTACACTTCTCAAAATCAGCACAAAGTCTTTGGGTTCACAAACAATCAGAAGCTAAAGGGAAACAAAACCTGCCTCAGACTGAAATGAAGTTACGAACCACATCTTTGTGTCCCCCCAAAATTCACATGTTGAAACCCTAACTCCCAATGGAATGGTATTAGGAGGTGGGGCCTTTGGGAGGTGATTAGGTTAAGATGAGGTTAAGATGGGATTAGTACCATTATAATAGAAAGGGACTAGGGGCCCCCCACGTGCATGTATCAAGGAAGGCCATGTGAGGACACAACCAGGAAGAGGGCGCTTGGAATGATACCAGGCAGTGAGTGAAAGCAGGCTCCTAAGCTGAGACAGATTGGGATTTCTTGCCCACTGTAGGCATGGGTCTATGTGCTCCAGCAGGCCATGCCTTCCTGCACCCAGAGGCTCGATATCTGCCTGCTGCATGTTGATTTTCCCTCCTTCCTTATGACCGGGCTAGCTCTCGGGCACAAGCAGCCCCACAGTCTGTGGAGGTTCAGATTTCTTGATCACCTTTTCTGGCACGCTTCTTATTTCCTGCGGCACCCCACCCCTTTCCTCTGGGAAGTGTACGTCTGCTGCTGGCATCTGTCGCTCATTTTCCTTTGTGAGCACCGCAGCAACGAATTCATTTAATGTTTTAACTGCTTTTACAACTTCTGTCCATAAATTCCTCTAATGCTTACCTCTTAGAGACTCCACCACTTCCTTCCCTGACCTCCTGCTACATGTGCACTCAGCATCATCCTGTCATTTATCTAACTCCTTGGAACACTCGCCTTTCATTTCCTGACAGCCTGTGTTTGTGATCCTCTGCCCGTCGTCTTTGCTCCACTGTCTCTGCTCTGCTTGGCCTGGGTCTCCCATGTCTCGCGTTTCTCCTTTACCCTTGAACGCCATTTCCCACATCCTCTCCCTGCCCGTGCCTTTGTCCTCCTCCCATGCCTAGCAGTAGGTGGCAGACATACGTTTGTCTTTGAGCACATATACCCTCCCCTTCA